CAGCTTGGGAAGTGTCCTAGGATCATTACGAGGATCAACTGTCATTCAGCCACTGCCACACACAGGCGAAGACACTTGCCCTCTCATCTGAGCCATCGCCACAGTCGTCCTGGTTGTCACAAAAGCCACTCGTGGGGGTACACAGTGCCCACTCTCATGGCACAGGGCCTCTCCCTCTGCACAGCCAGGCACAAGCTCCTCGCAGCGGGTACTGCCACCCCCACAAAGCCACCGACTTCCCTGGCACGTGCTGAGCACATGATGTCCCGGGATCAGACGCAGCTCTGGGACAGCCCAGGGGTTACGGGGCTCCCCCAAGCCCCCCACTCACCAGTTCCCACAGGCCTTCTGCAGCACCGTTCCTGGTGGGAAGAAGCTGCCCCCACCCCCCCACTCACAGGGACAGAAAGCCAGCTCCACGCAGATGTCTCCTCAGGTCACAGAGGGCAGGGCTTGGAGCACAGGGCACAGCAGCCCTCACACCAGCCCTGTCACCTGTGGCCTTGTGGCCCCTTCCCTGTCCCAGTGCCGCCTCCCCTCTCCCCATTCTGACCCTACCCACCATGCAGCAGAGTCCCCTCAGGGCAGAAGCAGCCCTCCACACAGGTGACAGCCTGGCAATGCCACCAGCTTCAGGACCATGGTCATGGCAGGTGGGGGGACACGTGGGGCCACAGGCCTCATACTCCTGGCCTCCTTCACATTGCAGAGCTGGGTGGAGAGGAGCGAGGCTTGGTCAGCAAGGTGCAAGGGCATCAGGATGCAAACGCAGCAGGCGAGCCGGCCCAAGGTGACGGCCCTGAAGGGCATGGGGCCATGGTGTAGACTCCTGCTGAGACCCTCCCAAGGCTGTTTACAACACACGGGTTCTACAGAGCAGCAAACATAGCATGTTCGGCTGGGTGCGGTGGGACTGGGCACAGGGACTGAGGGCAGGGCACACTCGTGGCAGAGCTCCTGGCTGCGCCAGCGCACGTGGAACCCGTGTCGGGAGCACAGACACTCACAGTCGCCTCCTGAATCACAGCTGTGGGAGGGGTCGGTCAGCCTCAGCAGCCGCTCTCCACGGCCACACACCCCTCCCACCCGGTCCCCGGGCCTGCCGCTCTCACCCGCAGGCATCCAGGCATCATAAACGCACCACCCGTAGTGGTGCTGTGGGGGTACCTCCGCGTGGCCCCGGGCAAAGAGTGGCTGCAGCAGCACCCCGCAGCGGGAGCGCG